ATACAGGACCGTTAGCATATACAGGACCGTTAGCATATACAGGACCGTTAGCATATACAGGACCGTTAGTATATACAGGACCGTTAGCATATACAGGACCGTTAGCATATACAGGACCGTTAGCATATACAGGACCGTTAGTATATACAGAACCGTTAGCATATACAGGACCGGACTTGCTTCAATGACAGGGTGTCCATGGTGTCCCATGAAACATGACTGTAGCAAGAAGAATTGCAGGTCGTCTTTGATCTATGAAATAATTTGCGGCATTATATCTTAAACCAACAGATTACCCACAAAGGATGAGACTGCAAAGACGACCTGAAACTCTTTTATATGATAATTACAGGGCTGAATAAGGTCTTTCTGATTATTTTGCAAAGAAAGAAAAGTTTTTAGGTGCAGGGAATCATAAATGTAAGGAAACAACCCGTATAAATTCCGTACAGTCGTATCTGAAGTCTCATCCTTTGTGAGTAACCTTGTAGTTATAGAAGTAAAATCAAGAAATAGTCCTAGTCTTGGCATTTCCAAAATGAGGTCTGCCTTTTTGTGCTTTAAAAATCACCGGAGATATTGCGAATTTCGTTTAGATTTAGACAATTTTGGTTTTATTTAATAAAATTTAAATCTGAACGAAATTCGCAATATCTCCGGTAATATTGACAGCACAAAAAAGACAGACCTCGTTTTAGAAAGGCCAGTTAAAGAACAATTTTCTCGTCATTGTTTCAATAATCATACATGTGAAAGTAGGTTGACGACTAAATGTCACAAATTAATTAAAAGTTCAAAGACGACTTTCAAGTAGTCTTGCTAATGTTATGTTTCGTGGGACACCCTGCATAAATGTATAATTACTAGCTTAGAAACCCAGCTTTTTCTGGAAACTATACTTTCTCTAAAATATTCAACCCACTCAACTAACGAGTTCCTCAATCAGTTAAGGGGCTCCTGAGTTATGATCGGACATACAAACAAACAAACAAAGATTACTATTTTATATATAGATAAATATTTGCCTCAAATTTTGATTGGGGAACTCGTTAAAACCTTGGGAATGCTCTTAGCTTTAATTAGACATTTCTAATTGAGTAATAATCACAATTGATTGGGTGACTGAGATTTAGGAAATCAATTTCAAGTATCAAAGTATACTACGCTCATGTAACGCTTTTTAAAAAAAGCTTTGGGAGAAGAATAAAAAATGGAAAGCCTTTGCTTTAACAATACTCACATGAAATTCTCTGGTATGTTTTATAAACGACTGAGTATTCCTGATGAGAGTTTTCTTTAATAAAATCATTTTTTTCTGAAAATACGATGAATACATTAATAGAATATAATACAGCGTAGGTTAAAATGCAAAGTTTCCTAAAATAAAAACTAAAGTAAATCTTTTTTTACATATAATCATTATGTTAATCACGGTTTGGTGCTTTAGTTATGTTTCTCTTCAACTTAAATAATTATTTTTCTTCTTTGAATCTTAAAACAGTATTCAGTAAACCAACTCAAACCCGTGTTTTTTTTTAATCTGGACCTAAAAATATATGTCAAATTGTAAAGATAAAAACTTTTACAGGATTTACCATATGGAAAAACTTATTTTCCTATTAATTCATCTCATTAGACCAAATAAACTAATAGTTTCATTTGCATTCTTTCTACACTCATGTCACAAGATTTATTTTCTGTGAAGAGCACCTCTACTGTGTCCAACCAATGATGATGAAAGAGATTCTTTTAAAATCTTTCTAATAAATATACAAAAAAAATTTTTTTAAAGTTTAGAATTCTTTTTCATTTTTTCATTTTTTTTTCTAAATAGAATCTGAAGAAAGTACATAAATCCTTCATAAATACAACAGATGCGATCGAATCCGATTCTTTTTAGGATTCAGACCGAACCCGCCATTCATTTTTCGCAAGTACTTCCTTTAAATCGAAAGTCACTTAAAATTACCGAAATGACGTAGATTGAGTTCAGATTCTTAGTTGGATGAAGAGAGCTGTAGAATGTAGACAGTAGTTTTCCCGCTAGATTTTACTAAATAAATACAAAATTAATTTAATATTTTATGTATGATCCTCCTAATGGTCTCGAGAGTAATCCCCCCTCCCCTACCTCCCCGCTTTCACTCTTATTTTGTCTGTTTTTCCTTTTTGTCTCAGGAGCTCTTTACAGAATCCATCTTTAGCCTCCAGTTCTTTACAAGAGTTTATTCCAATAATTCAACCCGGAAAAATGGATTTCCCGAACTTTTGAATGGACTCAACCTTTTTGAACAGAGCAATGGCCAATTTCTTAGACGCTCTACCATAGGTAGAACCATAGTCACACTATGGTTACGCTTTACCAGAGCAGTGTAGATAGATAGATACGACTTATAGTTGTACCTATGTTTCAATGAATAAGAAATTGGCCACAAGTTTGTTTGTCATGGTTGCATAATCTCGATGCACTCCAATGGAAAATATCGTCTCCAAAGGAATGGACAGTGAACTCCGTAAATGGCGTCACCAATAGGGATTTTTCGTTCATAAAAACCTTGAGGCAGAAGCCCAAGAAATTATGCGCACGCCGCGTTGAATGAAAAGACAGAGTGATAAATGTGTGTAACTCCTTTGGGTTCCTACCTAATGATTATTGTAAACGAAAAACCCCTAGATCTTGAAAAGACAACATCTAGTGTTTTACCTTTTTTATTATATATCTGTGCTTTAAGTAAAGTTTATATGTTTGATCAATAAAAGGTTTGTTGAAATTCAATTTTTACATTTAAATAAAAAAATATGCATTCCCCATGAATGTTTAAAAATGGCAGTTGCCCAAAGAAATTAGGCGCATCTGCCATGTTGAATTGCAAAAACAAGAGATTAGAAAATATTTTAGGGTTACGTCAGTTTAAGACATTTTCTGGGCCGGCAAGGACAGGCTCTCTCTCTGTCTTTTAATTCAACGCAGCATGCGCGTAACTCCTTTGGGCTTCTGCCTTAAAAATACCTTTTAAGATTCTTAATATTCGGATCTACCACATACAGGGTGTCCCAATAAACATGGGAATGAAGTGACATCCAATTTATCGTCTTCGATCCATGCGACATTTTTCTCGAGCACAATTATTGCAGTATTCCATCTCATATAGAAAACGCCATATTTTGAAATGTTTAAAAATGTGGTCTACTATTTTATATCTTCAAAACTGACGGAGATACTGCACAATTGTCTAAAAATTGTCTAAAAATCTAATATCTTTGTCGATCTTTAAGACACGAGAAAGGTGTAAGCTCGTAAGACGAACGTTTTAATAGTTTCTTTGCCGTGGATTAATTATCAGAAATCAAAGACGACTTTCAACTCGTCTCTCAATTGGGACACCCTGTTTAATATTTTGTAGGATTTTTCACAGCGATCAGAATATAAACTATAATTAAAGATATCAAAATTTATAAGATAAGCCCCCGCTCCCCACCGTTCCGAATATATACCTTGTATGAAGAATATCTAGGGTTACGGTTCTAATCTCAGTTAAACTTCTCGAGTCGTATAAACGCAGTTCTACCATTTACTTCCCATTAATTGTTAAAATAAAAAAGTTAAAATTCATAGTAAAAAACAGTAAAAAACTTTAAAAAACGGAGCAAGCTCACAAACAAAAATATCAAAAGATAGCTGAGAAATTATAATTAAATCTAAAATTATCTTTTCACGGCAAAAATTATCTAAGGCTGGGCGTGTTCATAACGTTCAGTTTCAACCGCTAAAAAAAGAAAATTCAGGTAGACGTTAATTTTAAAGGTAAGAACAGAACTTTTGTTGGGAAAGATAATGTTTCTTTTTTGTATAAATGTGTTGCTTAATTTTAATGGTCTAAAAGTATCCCGAGAAATTCTTAGGAATTTAAAGGGATTATGTCTCTTTTTCAGTTCCCCAATAAATCAATAAAATTTGTAACCGAAGAAATTCTCAGGAATCGATTGGTGAAAAATTCCTGAGAAATTCGCAGGAATTTCTTGGGACTATGTCGCATATTTAGTTCCTCAAAAAAAATCATAAAATTAGATTTATAGCTATTTCTATCGTTTATTTGGCTAACAAGATAGCTAATATCTAGAATTATTCATGTATGGGTACTTCCACTGACTAGAAACATATTTTTATTACAAGTTATTTATTTATGGCTAAATGTAAAAGTTTTGTTAATGCAAGAATGTTCTATTTAGAGCAAGATAATTCTTTAAATGTGTATGTCTGTCTGGACATATCTATATCTAAAGTTGTAATCTCTGCTTGTCGGTCCGATCATAATAAGGGTGACACAGTTACTGTAATCTAAAAGCCAAAAAATATAAATTTTTATCACTTTTAAATTCATGCAGCGCATGAATCTTTATAAAATCCTGAAAATAGTTTGATTTTTTTTTGAAAATGCGACAGTTTGAAAAGAAAAATCCGCCAAAATCTGAAAATTATCTTAAATGGCCGACTTTCACAACAAAATTCATAATTCAAAAGTTAAAAGCTGAAATCAGTTACAGGAGAGGAGGCGCGAACCGCCATAAAAGCCTGGTAAACTATTAATGGTTTAAATCATTAGTTTATAGACAAATGATTATTTTATTGCGAATAAATGTTCCTTTGAGATGGGTGTCAGTTGAGGTTGCAGAAGATTCAGAAATAATTTCAGTTTCAGTGTACGCCAGCACTCCAAACATATCTAAAGCATGTACAGTACAGTACAGTACAGTACAGTACAGTACAGTACAGTACAGTACAGTACAGTACAGTACAGTACAGAAAGCTATCAACCATCATTCCGTAGAAGTCAAGGTTTTCGTCAGTACAGTACGATAATGTAACAATTTTAAAAGTAAACATTATTCCGTTGAATTTAAGACCAAACAAATGTAGCGCCAAAGGATGGAAATTATAAGGAAGAATGTCATTATTTCAGCCCTGCTGTAAAGAGTACTATCAAAAGTTTGCCACAGTGTCATTTACCCTTTTCTAGTCTACAAATCCGTTAAAACCATGTATTTATTGAATCTATATATAAAAGTAGTAATTACTGTTTGTCTTCTTGTTTGGATGTCCGTTAATAACTTTGATTGGAAAACTCGGTAAAAACACGAGATTTTTTTGAGCCAAGTTTGAAAATTTAAAATTAAAGGATAATAAAGTATAAACCAATAAAAGGGGACGGTGGAGTTGGCACATTTGATGTAGGGGGGGGGGG